CCACAGTTGGTTACTTTGCTTTTTGTATCAACTTTCACTCTCTAAATTGCAATTGACACTTTCATGCAGCATCTATACTTAACTGGAGTTGATGTCTTTGGTTGACCTAATAGCATTCCTATACATTCAGTACACTGTTCCCAGAAAAGGTGGGATGCTTGCTCTGATCCCTGTTATCAATTAATTACATGAGAGTTTTATGCCTTTTTTTGACAACTTAAATATCTGGTGTCCTATCAGGAATTCATTGATGCATACATGAGCTAAATATACGATTCTGTTTCTACCCTTTCACCACTTGCTAGTGCTTTTGTTATACTTTAGGTGTAACTGCAGATATAATTATTATATTTTCATGACTTGTTTTCTTCTCCAAATTAGGGCCTCGTTTGCATCAACAATCTTTGATATCATGGTCTGTTCTTATATTATCATCATTGACGCTGCTCTCACATGCCGTATTTCATGTTGTTTTGGCCATCGAGGGGGATCAGTGGAGTACTGCTGATGCTCAGTGGGCTCAGCTATTTGGATTTATAAGGTAGTTTTTTTCTTTTTACCCTTTGTATATTATAATTTTCCTCCCTCAGTGTTCGTGTATCACCATCAGAGTATAGGACAAGTCTACAAATGCTTTATGAAATGATTTTGCAGAGTGCAGTCTGGGAGGACTTTGCCTATTGACTATTTTTTGGTCATGCAAGTATTAGCAACCTTTCTTTCTCTAATTGAAATATATGGAAATGGGCGTGGTCAAGATGCATGGAGAAATTTTTATCCAGGGCATCTATGCTCTTCTAATCTGCTGATAGGTTTGTCGTAAAACTTATCTCTTTCCCTTATTCTTGCTTTGGGATGGAGTTTTTGTTTATGGCATCTCCATCTTTTGCCAATGTTTGTTTCAACAGACTCACCATCACTGATATACAAAGGGTCGTCTTTGCATTCTTGATTATTTCTAGGTGGTTTTTTCTTTTTTGTCTTCTTTTTCTGTTTTCAAGGGTGGTTTTGCTGACCTCTTTATGTACTGGACTTGTTTTCTTTAATAAAATATATGTTTGAAATAGAGACGAGATTTGTCATAAAACCACTGTTAGAAATAATAGGATGACTGGTCCTTTGAAATGGTTAAGATTTCAATTCTCACTTTTTTTTTCTTGCATGATGTTGTTAACACTAATAAATATAACAAACTGATTTCTGTCTCTACAGAATAATTATAGATGGATGTTGGTTTTTGGGTTGCAGGATCTCATCTCAAGGGATTGTGCCTTTTATTGTTGCCTGCTATACAACTAATTGCTGGAATTAGTCATGCATCTTGGGTTGCCTTGCCTTTTTTCATTTGCAGCAGTATAGGGCTAGTAGATTGGTCTTGGACAAGCAATTATATAGGTATCTTTCGGTAAGCTTTTCCTCCCCAAGCAAAAAAAGATGATAGTAATTTTACTGTTCCAGTATAAAATTACAAATAGAATTTAATTGGTTCAATGGTTTGTGATTTTTATGAACTTGAAGGTGGTGAGATACCTTATATATTACGGCTGGCTTCAATATCATTTTTCTGTACGTATACCAACTTCCTATTGAATTCCCAGAGACCATTAGGTCGATATTTGACCACTTTGGGCTATTCAAACTTTCTACAAGTCAGAATGGTCAGAAGTTTGTTCTGTTCTTTCACTTCTACTTTTCTATATTATGGTAAGAATAATGCTCCTATAAATAACACTGTTCTACTGTTGAAAAAGCAGTCAATATTTGTATCATACTCCCTCCGTCCCAAATTATAAGACGTTTTGGGCATTTCACATGTATTAAGAAAAATAATCATTGTTGTACGGGAAAGAGAAATTATATATGACTTTACACTATTGTCCTTCATTAATTATAGAGGAAGGATAAATTAAGAGAATTGAAAGAAGAAAGAGAAATAAATAATAGAGGGTATATTGAGAAAAACATCATTATTGTTGCATTGGAATTGTAAATAACTTATAATTTGGGACAATTTTTTTCTCCAAAACGTCTTATAATTTGGGTCGGAGGGAGTATAAAATACTACTATTGGACTCATATATAAGCAGAAATAAATAGTTTCACACTTTTTAGAATAGTAGTTAAGTGCATTTAATTTTCTTGTTTTCATGTAAAAACGGATAGTAGTTATGTGCATTTAATTTTCTTGTTTTCATGTAAAAACGGAAGTACATTTACTAACCTCTAACTATAATGATCAACTACTCACAATATTAAAGACTTACTCCCTCCGGTCTCGAATATAAGCAACAAAAAAAATTATAAAGTCTTAAATATAAGCAAAAGTCATCAATAATTATTACATTCAATGTCATTATTCCAAATATAATCCTATTTTTTTCACATTTCTATGTTTTTAACAATTTCCAAGACAAAAAGTAGGGGTAAAATTAGAAAAAGTGTAAGAATTAAATGCATTTAAACATTTTTTTAAAGGGTGAGCTTTTTTGTAGAGTTGCTTATATATGAGACCTGAGGGAGTAATTAAGATTATTTTAGAAATAACAACATCAAATGTAGACAAATTAGTTGACATTTGCTTATATTTGAGTCAAACAAATATAGACACTTTTTGCTTAAAATTGAGTTCAGATTTCGGAGGTATTATTTACCAATGTGTAAGGGGGTGGGTGGGTGGGAATCCACATCTTAGAGTTAAGGGTTAGGGTATAACTCGATCCCACAAAACCAACCTCTAAAGTAGGGATTGCTCATGCCTTATGAACCTTAGGCCATGTCTCTTGTTGGATGTGATATTCTCAACTCAACACATCCTATCCGTGAGACTGGACATCTAGAGTGTGGACAATTGCAGGTGGAATAACAAAGATCTTGACCAATAACAAATCTAGAATAGACTACAATACCATTTCATAATTTGGGCTTCCGACCTAATTCAACATAAAATCAGCTCGTGGGGTGGGGATTTCCTTAGCCTTATAACCACAACCTAGGCTATATCGCTAGTCGATGTGGGATTCTCAACACAATTAGTTAATTAGAGTGTATGGACTCTTGCACTTTCAAGGAATAAAATGTGTTTTTAAAGACTAACCTGTAGATGGAATTTCTAAATCTTTTACCAAATTGCTGCAAGACTAGCTTTAGTCATACTAGATTTCGCAATAAACGTTCTTAAAGGAGCGCGGCTAAAGTTGCAAGTCATGTTGTGTTGTTCTGAAAATCAACAATAGTAGGATCCTAAATGGGCATGGGAGAAATCTGTACCTTTCTGATATGCACGTAACATGTTACAAATGAACCAGTAAAAGAGAAATACAATATGAGCTCCACAAGACGTTATTGGAAGTGTAATTCAGTGGAGGTCAAAGATGTCAAAGAGACGAGCATTGGTAGGAAGAGAATTCAGCAAGATCGCTAGAAATGATCATTAACCCGAAGAGCTGGTTGGAATGTGGCACAGCCAATTTAAAAGAATTTCACTTGATTGTTTAGTGGAAATTCCTTTCAAATGTTGCAAAACTTCAATATATCTTCCTAGAACAACGTTTGGGAGCTTTAAACCACTATAAAACTAAGAATACACCAACAAACAACAAAAACAACAACAATAGAAAGCCATGCGTTTCTAAAGTCCGTCTATTGATTCCTCTAAGATACAACTGATATATTAAGAGATATTTTCCCTATTTTGTAAAAATCTCTTGTAGTATGGGTCACCTATTTTCATTTTCCCTTTGTTCTAGCTATCTTGGATCAGAAATGAGCTAGCCGAAATGAAAATCACCACATCAACAAGAGAAAATGATTTGACTGAGGAACTTCTTCCCACAAGACGTTCTCTCTTTGTTCATGAATACAGGTAATTAACTAGATGCAACATCCTCATTTGATTCTTTTTTCTTTCCGATCCTTTGTGGGTCTGATTCTTCTTTGGACCCCCCACCATAGTGGAAGCTTTGTAGCACACTAGCACTACGCCGTCCCTAAGATCGACATATTATTGGGATGAGAATCTAGTCTGGAGTCAGGTAGTAGGACCTATAGCTTCATGATAGTATTTCCTTGTTGGGCTTTACTTTTTTGTTTGTTTGTTTTTGTTTTGCATGTTTGAAGCAAAATAGTTCAAGTGTTTTTTAAATGAAAGTTGAAATAGTTAAATTGCGTCTTTCACTTGGCTAAAAAGCTTCTCATGGAACAATGTGCTCAAATTGAACTCTCTGCTACCGAAATAATTGTTTATTCAATCCTTTTTTATCTGTTATCTAGTCAAATTCATTGCCTTCTATCTTTGTTTCATGCAATATTTGATTTCTTGGTTTTTTAATCTTATGACAGGTTTGGCGTGAGGCATAGAAGTTTCATATTGCAAGGAGCTATTTCTCAGACGTTTAGTATTAACTTTCTAGCATATGGCTTTCGGTACGGATGCTTTAGTTGCTAAATTCCTGTGTAAAATTCATATCACATACTTGGCCTGGACATGTGTAACCAGTGAAGTAACATAAATTATTTTCAACAAGAGTTGGCACCCATCCATTTTTTTCTTTGGTAAAGATTTGATATGAGT